CCATCTGCTGCGTCTCTGCCATTCCTTGGCGATCTGCCGGGAGAGCGACGTGCTTGACCGTTATCGGCTCGAAGTGTTCGCCCGCTTGATGGTGTTGAGCCACTCCCGCCTGACTTGGGGCTTAGGGCGCTGACGGGCGGGTGGTTGTGGAACAAGCAGAACACGTGGTACAACGAAGCTCGCAACTTCGCAGCCATAACACGGCATTCCGGCCCTTGTTCGCCATCTTGACAGTATGGCAGTATGTACACCTCAGTAATCGACAGGCCTTCGCGGGCCAGCCAGATGATGTGATGGTAAAGCTGCAGTGACTTGGTGTCCCGTGTAATGTCGAGCTTGCGGAGCCTGCGGGCTCTGAACAGCTTGCGTGAAAGTAGGATGGAAAGTCCAAGTACTTGATAAAGTGAAGCGGACAGAAGTGGATTCGACGGTTCCGTCTGCCTCGCAAGTCGACCCAATATCTTCTCTTCGATTTGCGATACGGCCATCGAAGTCTGACAGCACAGCAGCTTCAACACATCGACTCAACACTATTCAATACAGCACGGGGCTGCCATGCACCATTCGTTGTTGGTGGAGTTGCCCGTCGATCAGCTATTTGTTGATGATGCTGTCCGTTGTTGAGGTTGCAAGCAAGTAAGGTTGCTCGTTGGTGAAGTTGCTCGTGATCGACAATCCTGACAGAGACCTCTGTTGTCCCAGTACCTTGCCTTTGCGCGTTCGTGGCTGCTTGAACAGAGCAAACGAAGGTAGACAGAGTGCTGATGGAGGACGGGTAGGCGTAGAGGTTATCGGATGTCACAATGCGAGCAGCACAGGCTGCTGGGCAAAGCTCAATGTGGGCAAACCAAGCCACGTTGATACCAATTTGCCTCCGTCTCGGTCGGCGGTCGGCGCAGGACTTTGTGTGTAGGCAGCGTTGACAGGGGCGCAGTCGGAGTAGCACTGCGTTCGGAGGGATCGGCTGGCTTTGGCGAGGAGGTTGGGCCAGTGAGCAGGGTTGAAAGATTTCGCAGGTGGAGATTGGAGCACGCTGATGCTTATGTACAACCAATAGCCCAGGGCAAGACAGCAGACGCCGGAACACAACGAGGCACAAGTAGAGAGCCCCTTCGGCGCGCCGTATGTAGGGATGGCTTGCGCAAGGCAGCGCTATATCACGAAAACTAAAAGCCATCAGTCGTTGTGTTCCGAACACATGAGGCGTCAGTGAGATGAGGGCTACCTATTATGCGCGCAGCAGAAAGACTTCAAGACTAGCGGCCAGCGAGCTTCTATTCGTCCGACGTCGCGGTATATGGACCAATGAAGGACGATACAGGAGACAAAGCCTGCAAGATCCGGCAAAGCGAAGCTAGACGTCACCTCTGCCGTCGTGATACCGTGATAGCCGCAAGGAGGCTGGTATTATGAGGCAGAGATGGCGCTCGGATCCGGCGTCCCAGCGGTGATGTCCTGATGATGTTGACGTCGTGTAGCTGAAGGAGCGAGCGCCGGCGGTGCGGCGACCTATCCCACTGATTGTATTGCGATCAATTACTTCCACTGCTAGCTCTTTTACAATTTCGCATCCCACCCTAGCTTCGTGCGGTTGCGCCTGGAAGTCGTCCGGTCTTTCTGCAATGGCCTGGTCTGTCTGCCGGTTCGGGCCCGAGTGTACGCCAAAGCTTCGTGACAGCGCAGAAGTCACCAACTCCTCCAACGCCAAAGGGCATACGATGATGCCCAACTCGATGCTGCGAAGACAGACAGGAGAGGATGAGCAAAGAATAGTAAGAAAATAGGTAGCGCAATCTATCTGCCGGATACCTGCAGTGGTCCTGCAGGAAGACCCGCCGCCAATGCGCGTGTGCTACGTGGCGATTGCCAGCGTGTACAACGCATCGCCAGCGACCCCATCATGTCATCCAGCATAGCCGAACCTAACTTGGAGCTTCAGTCGCGAACTCTAAATGCGCTCCCGCCTGATGTTGCAACGATGGCGATGGGTGTTGTAACTTGTCCGAGTCGTTCGCATTGAAGGCTGAAGTAAGCGTGGAGGATAGAGAAGAGAAACGCTAGACGTCATTGGTATGCACTCAGAACTCTATCATTGCCCGCATCAAGCCTCACGCTTCCTCTCCCATCACTTGTCATTATGCAGAATGCGTGCGGCATGCTCAGTCACTAGCAAGCATTTCGTTTGCTTGCATCGCCTTCATATGAACCGCGTCGCGCAAACCCTCGCCAGTGGCAGAAAGCCAACTACGAAGGCTTTCCACGCTCCTTTAGGACGCTGCTATGGTCGCATTACTGCCCATCTCCTTGCCGGTGCAATGCCGGATTGCATGATGGTGCGTGCAGGCCGACGGTATTTTCTGCTCTGTGATCAGAACCGGGAAGAAATGGCCCGCACTGTCGAGGAGCTTCCATCGCAGGTCCACCAGCCTCTCACCACCAGGAGTCCAGAAGACCAGGTCCAGGAACAACGTAGACAGTTCGCTACGCAAAGCGTGACCCACTAGCGGCGCGGTCTTGCTGTCTTATACATGCTAGCAAGGTACCTGTCTGAGAGCTACTCTAGCACCTCCGAACTATCCTCTTTTCAAGCCACCGTGGACAAGCGGTGAACGCCTGCTCCGATTGGGTAAACGCTCCGGAGATAACGCACGTGATCTATATTTCCATAACACTCCATGCCGACTTCATTCATACAAGGCCATATATCGTGAGGGATCCGCTCCAACTATTCTGGAGTCATGCGTCGTCATATAAGCGATTTTTGTTGATCAGAATAATTCTCCACTAACTTCCGTAGACCGAATTATGGTGTGCACAGAGGTGCAGAATGGTCCAGATTGGAGATATATGATCTTGCGGCTGTGCGTGCAAGGTCAGGGTGTTGCGTTTTTGCAAGTGGCGGAGGCGAAATTCAGTGGAGGAGGAACAGGTTACGATGTTCGAGACGGCGATCTGCCAGTCAACGTCCACGAGCCATCGTCAGGCACTTCGGGTTTGGTACTGCCACTGCTCACTGCTGCTGCTATATCATTCCGTCGTACTAGCTCTTACGTGATCTGCATGCACCGGGACTGCTCCCATGGTCTAGTTTCTATGACCCATGATCGGAAAGAAACGAGACGCCGACCATCCTGCACCCATGTCACCGCGCTGCATCTCAAAGCGACCGACTACCGCCTCCCAACCTTCTTCGATGCAGTCTTCTTAGACCTGGACACCGTCGGCTCCGGCTCCATAAAGCAGTGCGCGCAGTTTGCTTCCATCTTGACGGTGGCCCAGATATCTCCTCGCCCACAAGGTCTCTGCACAAGGGCAGCTGTTGGGCAGTATGCAGCGAAGACGGTCTTGGTGTGACCACAGGGGTGCGTGTGTGCGTAGTACCTGGTTGGCAGTATCAGTCAGCGCTCGACTCACGTTGATTGGTTATGGTCTATCGTCGACATACTTGCACATGATTGCTCGTGTGTGAGAGTCGATAGCGTCGATATGAGTATATCAGGCTGACCCAGAGTCTCTGCGCACGATATTGTGTCTGTTCCCGTCAGCATCTGTTAGGCACGGCCTGTGTCACACGATCACGATCATCTTACGGAGCAGTAGGCGTTGTAGATTTTTTGGCTCCGGTGCGTATACTGAGGATGTCTCGCAATGGTGTCTGCTGAGGAGAGTGCCAGTCGAGTACAAACGATGCTTTTTATCTTATAAAGGCACGGAGTAGGCCAAGAGCGATCAAGTGCCATGACCACTATTGCTGTACTCGCTGTTGAAACGTTCCCGCATCGTTATACAGATTGTTGTCATCGCACGGTCAAGTCTCAGATGTTGAGTGCTGCGGCCAACCGCGCGGAAGACGGATGACATCTTGGGCGCTGCTACGAGATCAATCTCAGCCTATGAGGCCGTTGTGAGCAGTGACAAAGAACATCCGGTCGCATACAAATGCTCGAATCTTGGTCCTCGGACCCAGCAAACCCTTCGACTCGGGTCGGCCCATTGCACGCGGGCATGCACCGCAGGGATAGAGAACGTACAGATCTCGGATGTTTGCCTCATGAGCTTGTTGGTGTCCGGACCCGAGAAGCGGAAAGCTGCAGATTTGTCGTCGTAAGGCTGATTGACAAATGGACGCTGTGATCGCGGTGGGATCAGCATTGCTGCAAGTTTGGCAAACACTGATCGAGGTGAAGTGGAAGGTTGCTCAACCTGCTGGCTGTGCACGGGCGGGCGGTGTTTGCTCTATGGTGCCAGATGGTGATACGAGTCCGTACACGATGCTGCAGATGAAGCAAATGAGCATCATCTTGCGTCAATGTGCTGCGGTTTGGTGCCAGTGGCAGGAACCAAGACCAGTTAGTAAGGCGAGCGGTGTCACTATAGCGTGTAGCTCCAAGGAGTAGGTATCCCAGCAAGGCTACTGAGCAACAATGACCACACGGGCGAGGCATGGCGCGGGCTCTTGTTCTGCATAGCGCGAAGTCTGCCATTGCGCTCTTCAACTGTAGAGCATCTCTCAAAAGGAACGGAAGGCAGAAGCTGATACATCGCTCACCGTAATCCAGAGAATGGTAGTTGCTTCGGAGAGGTCGAAGAGGATCATCTGTTTTTCTATATGTCAAATGGTCGGAGCTACTCCATGAAGCTTTAGCAGCAGGAGGTCGTTGTCAAGAGCGGCAGTTTACTCACTCAGTGCGTCAGTATAACTATCTACCTCTGGTGTGACATGCTTTCACGTCGACGGGGTACAGACAGATCAGGATCTGTCTGCTCCATTGTGATATATATATGTAGAGCAGCATCATAAAGCTGAATAGTAAGGCATCGCACTCAACAAACCATTGGGGTTGTAGGGAATACTGCCGTAAGGTCGAGAGCAGTGCTTCTCCCGTACATTCAGAAGCACGCACGAAGTAGCCAAGACGCAAAAAGAAATCTCACATTGTCGGAGCACTCTGCCTCGGTTGGAGAGAGGCTTTGTGAAGGCGATAGCGGCAAAAAGGTTGTAGCTGAGAATGGTTTCGATCCATTGCCCTCCGGGTTATGCTGCAGCGATGTTAGAAGTGATAATCAAGAGCAGATAGAGTGATTACGAACAGCCCGGCGCGCTTCCGCTGCGCCACTCAGCTCATGCTTTTGAGGACCGCTGCGCCACCCATTGGGAAGACGAGCTTTTCAAGTCTCAATGTTCACAGCTTGGTGTACATATCAGCACGGCCATTATAATCTTTCATATACCCTACGTCGAAGACGGTCACTTAGCTCAGAGCCCCGACGTTCCACCGGTGCTTCGTTAGGAACCTCCCGTGCTCTCGCCTCTCGCCAAGTCTTGAGAATCGCTATATTGCGTTATTTGCATAGTACATACACACTGTCTCCCATTCACCTTTACCAACGAGCTCTGCAAGCATCTATAGCGAGATCAGACGTCACGACTACCAGTATGGAAGCGAGCACGGCGCAGCACAATTTATTATTACCGTGCTTCGTCGCTGAGGACTTAACGGGAACCTTAGAATTTCGAACAGATGCACGCTGTACAGACTACAGGGAATCGGTCATCAACCTCGTGATTGCTGCATCTTTCAGACCAACAGAAGCGTAAGGTAGAGTATAAGTCTATCCTCAGCAGCGGCGCGGTTACTATTGTCACTGCCTGTGAAGCCCGGCGTCAGAATCTCGATCCTGCAATGAGCAGAGCGTCGTGAATTCGCTATCGACACCATTGCATTATCCGCCAACTGTCCTGATGTTCTCCTCTAGGACCGCGAATGAAGGAAGATCGAGCTCCATCGCATACAGGTCACGGGGACCCAGCTGTGGTGATATAAGTGGCCGGCTTTACAAACCAGAAGAAACGATGTTCGGTTTTGAAGGTCTTCCTGTGCTTGCTAGGCGCCGAATAGCGCAACATGGCTTCGACAGTAAGATGAGATATGCTACTATAAGCCACCCTGTTTTCCCGGACTACCACATCGCTACCGAGAGAGCACATCTCCTCTGTGATGACATCGAGAAGCCGAAGCACTGGGTTGGCAGCCATACGCCCATGCCTCGTCCCAAGCATAAACTCAGAGGCCAACAACAAGACCTTACATTCTTCCAGGCCGGACGGCAACAACATCGCTAGCACACAGCTCGCACTCCTGGTCGTAGTTTTCATATCTGGGGCCCCAGGCTTCATCGATGTTGAGGCACTGATGGGGCGAGAAACCAGCAGTTGCTTCTCAGCGCAGCAGAGACCAATGTCGTGCACAGTACCCGACCGGCGATGGTCCACGTGCTCGTGTTAGGTCATTACGGTTGAACAAGAGGTCATGCCCGTGCTTGACCTTGAGATGCTCGACGAAGGATCCCTGGCCCAATTTGATGTGTATGAGAAAGTTTCGATTAGATCGTACGCAATATGATGTCCTGTTGTGAAGATAGAGTTTAGAGATAGACGGCCCGTGGGTGCGGTTCGGGAGTGTCAACAGCCAACGAGGAAGGAGCCATGATGAGGAAGGAGCGGCTTCTCCCAAAGCCAAAGCACGTGCGGAAAACCCAAGGCCCGCCATGCGACCGTGACACAACCGCGACACGCATGAGAGGGTCACCACCTGACACAGCTTAGAGTTTTGAGCGTAGTCGAGCTTGTAGAGAAGGTCTTCGACCCATTTGGGAAGACTTCCTCTCTTCCTCCCGAAAGATTGGTACCTGGAGCCCCTCGCAAGGGCATACAGCGGCTAGACTTCACCTGCGGTCTCCGAAACGTGTGCGGCGGCCGCGGATACCGGCCCTTGGTGCGATATGGCGCCAGAGCAAGCTACGCTGAGCTGCTGCGCGACGTGCGCAAAGCACAAGACGGTGGATGAGTTTAGGAACGAGCAAAATGGCAGAATCATGAAGACGTGCCAGTCATGTTCAGCGATGCGCAAAAGTCGGCGCCAGAAGCGGAGTACGGAGCAAAAGCAAGAGAGGCACGTCGCTTCTCGATCGCGTCACTGCCGATTTGATGATTCGGCCCAACGCCGGTGGTGCTATCATGGCAGGACGCTGTGCTGTGGCTGCCATCCCCCATATCCCCAAACCGCGCTGTCCAGCACTTGTTGAGTGCGCGGCAGCAGTTTGCACGTTGACAGTCATGCCTCCTGCGGCCTCAGGATACTGAGCAGCTCTAAGTTTCAAACACAGCTGCTATGTCGACTAGTGCTGCAATCATCGGTCCACCACGCAATTATCGGCTTCCTGCGCGTAACTCTTAGGAGTAGCGGTGGACTTTACGGCGGTTGCGTAGTACAAAACACCCATGGCGTTTAGTAGGATACTGACGTCGCTCTGCCTGATGTCTGAAGAAATTTAGAGCTCCGAAGCTCGATTGCTTGAGCTGCCTTGCGGTGGTGGAAAAAGACCGCTGCCACTTCTGACTGTACCATATCTACGAAGCCGCCAGCAGCGTGGAGTCCAGCTCCATGTTCCAAGACGCTGTCATGTAGGAGATTGTCGGCGCCGTGACGAACGACACCAACCTCGACCGAGCGCCACTCCCAAGTGAGGAAATACCGAGCGCTCTGATAGAAGCTATCGACTACGGTTCCCCGGCTCGTGTATCCACAGTAGACTGACTGGTACACGTGCAGCCTTCGTCCGCGGGCACGTGCTCGACCGGAACATGGGCAATATTGCAATCAAGGGCCGATCAGAACTTCTGCCGTGACGTATGTTCCGAGTTCGTGACCAGCCAGGCTAGGAGGGAGACGGCTGCGCATACCATCCACATGGCTACGTCCGTCCCGTTCGATGCTACACGGACCTCGGAACACTCTTGAGCAAGATGCTCTCGTAAGAAGCGGGCGAGGGTCTTGGTGACGGTGCGGTGGGGTCTCGGTCTGCGTACCGCCATATCACTAGCACGGCGTTGGCACAGAGCGTGGGTTGAGAGAGAGGCAAGCGGTGGTTCCAGTCTCACAGGCATGCATGAATCAAAAGCTCCATCTCGTCACAGCTTTGCCTTCCCGCCGCCTGCACCCTCAACCTCCTCCCTCAACGCCCGCCTAAGCAACCCAACCAACTCCTCCGCCTCCTCATCATCCAAATCCTCCCGTGCACCCCGCCCAAACATCCTCCAACTCTTCAGCATCCCCACATCCACCTTGCCCTTCCCAGCATTCTCCCTCCTACCCTCCTGATACCGCGGGATCAGATGGAAATGCACATGCGGCACCACTTGCGCCGCCCTCTCGCCGTTGTTCTGCACGATGTTCCAGTCCTCAATGCCTGTGACTTTGCACAGCGCGCGGGAGACGATGGGTAGCCATTCACCTAAAGCTCGTGAACTTTCTCGGGCTTCTTCTTGAGCTTCGCGCTGTGAAGCAGTGTCTGTCTCTGCGGCTAGGCTTGCGTTGTACAAGTCGGAGAGCTTATTGTAATGGTGTCTTGTGGTGAGGAGGATGTGGCCTGGAGCTATGGGCAGAATGTCAAGAAATGCGAGGACATGCGACGTCGACAAGAGCACGTGGGCCTGTGGGTCTACTTTTTCTGGATCTGGTAATTGTGGTATAGGCGAGGCTTCGGGTGGGTACGCTTCAGAAATCCTGCAGAAGGGGCAGCTGATCGGGTAAAGGTCGTCTATAGTCGACATTGCAAGGCTGTTACACACGAGATTGGTGACACATTGTTGATGTTGATGAAGGACAAGAGCTTGATGAGCTTTCTCGATGATGACGTGAAGCGCGTTCGCTGCCGAGGTGCTTCGGAGACTGCGGGCAGTGAAAAGGTCTACCATTACTACTATCGCGAGTCACGGTTGAGAGCCAGGGTCAACGGACATATCGTATTGCGCATGCTACACCTCTACTACTCCTACCCAACAACAGACAGCGCCAACGCAACGCGGTGAAAAGCCTTGCCATTGCCCCGTCCCTTCGCTCTCTGTGCGCCGATGCAGATGTAGTAACAGCAACAAGAACAATATCCCACCCCTCCATCTCCATGTGCAGAGATGATGGTGAGAAACCCAAGCAAGTTCGTCATAGGATGATCATGCGGTAATCGAAAGAGAAACACAGATGCGCCGTGCGTACGTATCCAGAGCAGTACCGACTGCATGCCGGATGGAGCTGAGGTTCGAGCAAGCGGCCGGCATCTTAAAGCGCAGTAGAGACATCAGCCGTACGGTGCTGGATCGCTGCCTTGTATGCCGGTGGAGGTGACGAGTCTGCGAAATCGAGAGATCGCCGGACCCTCGCAGCAACCGCCGTCAACCTGCCGGACTCTGTCCGCACATTCAGCAGAGGACGTGCAGGGCTATGAGCGAGGGGTCTTGCCGCTGCTCGGTTGCTCTTGAACATTGTCCAGGTACTTCGGCGCGAACTTCTTAGACCACTGGCGGAGTACGATAGAAGCTGCAGCACGTTAGCGGCAGATCACAAAAGCGCGTGGTTGGCGAGATGGACTTACCCTTCAGGAACTTCTTACTAGCATACTTTCGGAAGAATGCATCGTGCTGCACCGGCCCTTGCAGGTAGTCGATCATGAGCTTGAAGACTGGCTGGATCTCCTGCTCGGTGTAGCCGGCGTACTTCGACAGTGTAGAATCCCACTCGCCACGGTTGAGCACGAGACGCGCGAGGTACATCGCGGCGGCGGCGACGAGTGAAGGCGGGTGCTTAAGAAACCTGTGATCGAGACAGCCGATCTCGAGGAGGTACTTGCCAAGCGTACGGGTCTGGATGTCGTAATTGTCGGCCTTTGAGATACGACGGAGAAAATTCATCGGGTTGGGGTACGAAAGGTCGTAGTCCAAGGCGGCGAGGACGAACCGTTCAGCGGACAGTATCTCGCCCTCGTTGAAGCCGTCGTCAGCGACGTGCACGAAGTTCTGGACGTGTGGCGACAGCACTTCTTCGTACTTGCTGGCGATAAACATGGCTGTGACGCCGACAAGCTGCAGTCGGTCGAGCTGCACTACCTTGCTGGACAAGAACCGATCGATGATGTTGACAGCTAGGAAAAGCGTTTCGGGCAACAGCCGGAACCGTGTGTGGACCTCGAGCAGCCAGTCGACGAGTATGCCGCGCATCTTCCATTCGAGCTCGCCTTGGTTGTCCATGTAGTCCGGGTTGGGCTGTGTGGAGATCTCAAGCTGCTT